CAAGTCAGTAAAATCATGTCATCCCAGCTACTTGGATCCAGAGGTAAAATTATTGTGACCTAAGGTTAGTTCTATTAAAAAACACAAGACTCAAACCACATGCAAAAGTAGAGTATATAAAGATCTGTATATATATATATATATGTATATATATAATTTTTGCTCTCTCAAACCAAAGCACATTCATTTTCCACTACTCTTTTCTGCATACTTGAGCTTTTTGCTTTGTTTTTTTTTGTTTTTGTTTTTGTTTTGAGACTAGTAAGATATTCATTTTTAAATAGGGGTTTTTGACAATAGAATTTCCACACAGATGAATACTCATTCTTGAGCACAAGAGACTAGCAGAGTACCTAGACAATATCATACACTTTTGGTTAGTTCACTTGTGGTCTTTTAGACTAGATATCTATAAAGAATTTTATGCAATAATATCCCTTTGAAGAAACAGTAAAGATTCACAGCAGAAGTAATTGAAAAGAAATGTCTCTCTTTTACATGATTTTTCTCTCCAGTAATATTAAAGAGACAGCACAGTCATATCACTCTTGTATGAAGACTATTTTCCTTTCTTTTCTTGTTCACACAGTTTTCTTTACCACTGTATCTGCCATAGCTCATCTCTTCTTACTGCCCCTTTGGAAAGAAACTTCCTTAACAGCCCATTTGTCTTTTATATTTCCTTTGATAATCCTCTGCCCCAGCTCTTTATAATGAGATAACTCCCTTTTCTTAGGTGGACATTTCTTTCTCTCTAGAGGCCAGGAGAAGAGAAAAGATGTTTATTACCATATAATGTTTCCCTACAGGTGGAGAGGAATTAGTTATAGACATGTACTCATTAATAATTACAGTGCCATCACACACTAAACAATAAAAGACATAACTAATTGATTTTTCTTAGCCAATATATACTTCCTACCCAAGTAATACTAGGTTTTAAACTCAGGGCTCAATTTTTGTTCTACAACTTGATCTACTTCCACCACTGTTTTGTCATGAGTGTTTTGTTTTTGTTTTTGTTGTTTTATTTTTCCAGAAAGAATTTTGTATTGTTTTTTCACACAAGACTTGGACTGTGATCACAGTGCTCATGTAACAAATGCATGTCACCCCACCAATTCTTTGGTTTTTTAAAATCGTTTTAATTTTTCCCCCTACTTTTCCCCCTATTTTTCCTTCCCACCTCCACAACTACCCTCCCACCCCTACCGAAGTTGTAAAGTTCGTTTTCAACATAGTGTCTTGTACATCTCATTGTTACAATGGGTATCCTTAGTTAAACATTTTCTTTTTTCCATTCTCCTCCCCAAATTAGAGAAGTGTATATACAAGATGCAGGGCACTGACATCAAATACAGTGAAAAGAGGGGTTATACCATGGAGGAGGAACATACAAAGAAACCAAAAAATCACATGGTACATTATAAATATGTTAGAAACAACAGCAAGAAAAAAAAAGATATTTGTGGGAGTGTAGCTCATGTGGTAGGGCATCTGCCTAGCAATTATGAGGCCCTGAGTTCAAATTCCAGTATTGCCCAAAAAGGTCTATTATATTATGCTTTACTTTCTGGTTTCATGACCTGTCTATGATGGTCTTCTTATCATAATCTAAACCATCATGTCAGACAACTCTTTGTTGATATAGAGCCCTCACTCATGAACTGTTTGCCTGGGCTGTTCTTGAGTTGTGATTCCCCCAACCATACCTACCTCCCAAATAGGATTACAGGCATAAGCCACCACACTCAGTCTACCAATGTAATTTGAGACAATTTATTATGAAAATATAGGATATTCTCAATATAATACCTTCTAGAAACATATAAAACTGCATGTAGAAGATACTCTTTTCCTCAATGTTATAAACTGTATTACTTGTATTTTAATAACACCTTGATTATTTCTCTGTTCTTTCTTTAGATATAGGAAAAACTATTAGTAATACAATGAAGGTTTGAGGGTGCCCAATTTGTTGAGAGTGACTATATGTGATTTTGAAGACCTGTGTCAACAGAGACAACTTAGAAAAAATGGTGGGCTATGTCCTATAGTAGAAAACTAGAGAAAGATTGGGAAGGGCTGGGAAGGTGGCTCAGTGGTATAGTGCTTGCCTTGTATGCCTGAGGCCCTAGGTTCGATTCCTCAGCACCTCATAAGAAAAAAAGCCAGAAGTGGCGTTGTGGCTAAGTGGCAGAGCGCTAGCCTTGAGCTGAAGAGCTGAGGGACAGTGCCTAGGCCCAGAGTTCAGGCCCCACGACCAGATCCCCCCAAAAATAAATTAATTAAATTAAATTAAAAGTTAAAAAAAAAGAAAGATTGGGAAATTGACTGGATATTAAAAGCACAAAAAGTTGTATGTTAAAAGATAGAATTAAATAGAAATCAGATATACAAATAAAAATAAAATGGAATCTTTACAAGAAATTGTATGATTTCTTAAGTTCCTTATGAATTTAAGTTCTTTGTCTTTTTATATTTCACAATTTTTATTAGCATAAATTGTGACATTTCCACAGATGCATACAATGTATCATACTCAAACTTACTCCCTCTACCTCTTTCCCCTAACCCTCCTCCCTAATTGATAAAATAATTTCAAGACATTTCATTGTTCTATTTTCATTCATGCAAATGATCTATGTTGATTATATTCATCCTCATTTACCCTTTCCATTAGACCTCTCTCTTCCTGCTGCAACACAACCTGTTTTTACTTTCCTGGCATTTTCTTTTAGTGTGTATTTATTGTATCACGTATCATACTTCAGATATACATATATTATATTTATATTTCAGTTAGAACAACCCTATCCAATACTGTCTCATTCCCTGCCCTCCAATCCCTTATTGATCAACCCATTTTCCTGAAAATGACATGATTTCATTTCTCTTTATGCTTGAGTAATATTCCATAGTATATATGTAATATATTTTCTTTATCAATTGTAGGGCACCTTGGTTTTCACAAATTGGCCATTGTGAATAGTTCTGTGACAAATATAAGTATGCAGGTAACTTTCTTGTACATTGATTTACTCTCTTTTGGATCTATGCCCAATAGTGTTATAAGAGGGTCATTAGTTGGTCTATTTTAGTTTTCTAAGGAAACCTCTATACTGATTCACTGAGGCTATTCAATACCAAGAATATTATTTTTCTTCCTACCACAAGCTTCTTGTCTGCAATTTCTTTCTTATCTGATTTGGCTTCCAGTACTGCTCCTGTCTTATCCACTTAATTCCTAGTCTGGTGAAGAATGATATTCCAGTGTTTGATTTTTGTACATAGATCAAGGTTCAACTTGATTTTTAGGATTCTTCTTTAGGACTCTGATGAACTTGTGTGATCTTCAGAGGACTTTTAGCTTTTGCTTTTAAAAATTCTAAGGTTTGAGTTGGGCACTGGTAGCTCTTGCCTGAAATCCTAACTACTCAGGAGGCTGATATCTGAGGAGTGTTATTCAAAGCCAGCTGCAAGAAACTCCATTGTAAAATGATATGTACAAGACACTATGTTGAAAGCAAACTTTACAACTTTGGCCAGAGTGGGGGGAAGGAGTTGGGCAGGAGCGGAGGGAAGGGATGGTAGGGGAAAAACAAAGGAGGAGGTAACAATGCTCGATAGGAAATGTGCTCATAGCCAGAAGTAGAGTTGTGAATCCAAGTGGTAGAGTGCTGTTTTGAGTAACAAAACTCAGGAGCAATACTCAGGCCCTATGTTTAAGCCCCAGGACCAGCAAAAGAAAAAAACTCTAATGTCTGTATCAATCATCATATTCAAGGGAAGGCTGTAGTTATTCTTGAGGGAAGCAACTTTATGCTAAATGCCATGCAATTCATCTAATTGATAGAAAGCACTTTCAGTCCAAACACAGAATGGCCCTGCATACTCGTGAAGAACAGATTCAGAATGTTCCTAAAAGTATTGGTGATAGAATTATACCTAGTACATTGTCCTTAGGGCTACATATAATGCTAGCTTCTGATTTTGCCCTTGCCAGCTCTTAGTCACTGAGGGGCATAGACCTTTTTGAAATAATTACAGTTTTCATTTCACTTCTAAAAACTTATTTTCTAAGAAACCTTCCTTGGTCTTTGGATAGCCTTTGACTTTATCTTCCACTTCCAAATAAGCCTCTGGAACTTTTTCCATTCAATGACTTTTGGATATGACCAGAGCTGGTAAGACCATAGTAGGCAAGGCAGGGCATGTGGCTTTTGGGATGACTGATGGCAACACCACTAGGTTTTAGCTGGTGCAAACACATGGCCTCAATATACATATTTCCAAAGGTACCCTGGCCAGAAAGCTGAGTAGTGAGTCTCCCCTCTGTGAGCTCTGGCAGTGTGAAGCACAGATTCGCTAGATGCTAAGACATCACAATGTCTGATTTGTTGACTAATTCATTGACAGCACAGGGTTATTTTCTTTGTGCAGGTTGCTGTGAACAATGGTCATAATATCTGATCAAATGGAGCCTTGAACACAGCAAGCCAAGTGGCATTTTGGTGAGGAGTCTTTTTCTCTTTGGAGTGGATGAGAACATGTCATGGTAGAAAGAAGATAGTCATCTCCTAACCTGGCAGCTCCTATAGAAAAGTTTAAATAAAATGTTTGCTTTTAAATAGAAAGGTTAGTTTGGGGTTAAGCATTTCTTTTCCTCCATTATTTAGAAACTTGTTTTTTTTTTATTTTTAGAAACTTGTTTTCATATGCTTTTAAAACAGATTAAATTGACAGACAGTATAAGGTAGGAGAAAATACACTTTATGATCCTCCTAAATGATAGACAACAGACTTACTGGAGAAAAATATTCTTGCTGGCTTCTCTTCCTTCTATCTCATTACTATCCATCATCAATAGATTGTATTTGTGAGTAGCAGAATACATTTTTGGTCAAAAAATTGCATCAGGCAGAGAGACATGTTAAAAAATCATTAAACAAGGATTTCTACGTCAGATTCCATTAGGGAAAAGCAAACAAATGGCTCACCTTTATATACAAGGGCTCCCTAAGATGATCAACAAGAATGCAAGCTTTTTCTTCCCATACAGGATTGAGGTTCTTATGTATTATTTTACTTCTAAAAACTTCTTTTCTTCCAATTTTAAATTTCACGTATGGATCACTTGTTCCTGTTGAACAGATACAGATTGAGTCACATTAATAATTAATCATGCCTTTCTGTATTAGCAAGATAATTGCTCAGTGAGACCACCAGAAAGAATTCAAAGGGAAGTTGGGCATCCATGGCTCATGCCTGTAATCTTAACTATTCAGGAGGCTAAGATCTGAGGATAGTGGTTCAAAGCCAGCCCAGGCAGGAAAGTCCGTGAGGCTTTTATCTCCACTAAACTACCAGAAAACTGGAAGTGGTGCTGTGGCTCAAGTGGTAGAGTGCTAGCCTTGAGATGAAGAGCTGAGGGACTGTGCCCAGGCCCAGACTTCAAGCCCCATGACTGACAAAAAAAAAAATTCAAAGGGAGACAAATTAATTATGACATGATATAGGAAGATAAAGTTGTGCTTTTGCTACATCTTTCCTTATACATTGAAGAGAGGTATTTATATGTCATATATCATTTGAAGTATCTCTCAAAGTTTCATCATCATCATCATCATTATCATCATCATCATCATCATTTTATCTTCTAATCTTAATCTTTTAACCCTGTCCAGGTATTTAAGAAAACTTGAGTGCACAATGAATATACAAATTTAGTTCCAGTTACATGTCAGAGAGCTAATTTGACATTTCTCTTTGCATTATCCAACCAACTTTAAAAAGGATGATCAATGATGTTGACTGTTCATGTAACTAGGTTTAAAGACATATATCTGTTCAAGTTTTATGTTGTTCTAATGAGGTTAGGGAAAGTTGTTTTAAAGTGGATTAATTTCATCTTTGGTCCTATATTTTCTTGCTCAGTGTTTCAGTTTACAATATTAAGGGATGGAGGTTTCAAGCAAAGGAATTATTAGGGGGTAGTATGGTTTGGATATGAACTGCTTGGTTCAAACTGGTGGTGGAATTGAAAAGTAATTACATTGTGATGGTGCTAATTTTTCCAGTGAGTCATTTATGAGTTTTTACTGATTATTAGAAGGTGGGGCTTGACATCGAAATAGAAAGAGCAATAACAGACCTCCCACCAAAGAAAAACCCTGGGCCAGCTGGAATTCTACAAGGTGGAATTCTACAAGGCCTTCAAAGCAGAACTCACACCAATACTCCTCCAACTCTTCAATGAAACTGAAAGTTCACTACCAAACTCTTTCTACTAAGCCATCATAACCCTCATCCCCAAATCAGGCAGGGACTCATCAAAGCAAGAGAACTTTTGACCCATATCTTTGATGAACATCGATGTAAAACTTCTCAACCAAATCTTGGCCAATCAAATTCAACAACTCTTAAAAATATCATATGCCATGATCAAGCAGGATTCATTTCAGGGATGCAAAACTGGTTCAATATACGCAAATCAATGTAATTGATCACATCAACAAGAACAAGGATAAAAACCATATGATTATCTCAATAGATGCAGAAAAGCATTTGACAAAATCCATCACCCCTTTATGATGAAAACTCTGGAAAACTAGGAATCCACGGAACATTCCTCAATATAATAAAGGCTATGTATGACAAACATACAGTCAGCATTATACTTAATTGTGAAAAGCGAAAGCCATTTCCTCTAAATTCAGGAAAGAGACAAGGATGTTCACTCTCTCCACTTCTCTTTAATTTAGCATTAGAGTGCCTAGCTACAACAATAAGATGCAAACATAAAGGGGATCTAAATAGGGAAAGATGAAGTTTCCCTCTTTGCAAATGACATGATCTTGTATTTAAAGAACCCCATGGTCTCCACTCCCAAGTTACTCAAGCTGATCCCAAACTTTGGCAAAGTAGCAGGGTATAAAATTAACCCTCAAAAATCAATGGCTTTTCTGTATGCCAATAACGAGAAGAGTGTGGCTGAAATCAGGAAAGCAACTACTTTTGTAATAGCCCCACAAAAAATAAAATACCTAGGAGTTAACTAAAGAAATGAAGGACTTCTATGATGAAAACTTTAAAAACCTGACAAAGGAAATTAAAGCAGAACTAAAGAAGTGGAAAAATCTACCATGCTCCTGTATTGGAAGGATCAACATCGTGAAAATGGCAATACTGCCAAAGGTTATCTATAAATTCAATGCATCAATATCCCAACCTCATTCTTCAAGGGAATAGAAGAGGCAATCCAAAAATTCATATGGAAGAGTAAAAGACCTCGAAGAGCAAAAACAATCCTTAACAGAAAGAATAGTGCTGGATGAATATCAATAACAAATTTCAAATTCTATTACAAAGCCATAGTAATCAAAACAGCTTGGTACAGGCACAAGAACAGACCTCAGGACCAAGGGAATAGAATTGAAAACCCAGAAATGAACCCACAAACCTATAGCCACCTAATCTTTGATAAGGGAGCTAAAAAAATAAAATGGAAGAAAGACAGCTTCTTCAGTAAATGATGCTGGCAAAATTGATTAACCACCTGTAGAAAATGAAACCTAGATCCTTATATATCACCCTGCACTAGAATCAACTCCAAATGGATGAAAGATCTCGAAGTAAAAGCAGATACCCTGAAAACATTACAGAAAGGAATAGGAGAAACTTCAGGTCTCCTTGACACAGGCTGAAATGTTCTTAATAAAGACCCAGAAACACAACAAATCAAAGAAAGACTGGACAATGGGATTGCATGAAACTGCAGAGCTTCTGCATGGCAATGGACATAGCTAGCAAGATCAATAGAAAGCCCACAGTTTGGGAAAAGATCTTCACTAGCTATACAATGGACAAGGGTCTCATATCTAAAATATACTTAGAACTCAAAAAAGTAAATCCCCCAACCACAAATAAGAATGGCCATAAGGACATAAGAATGGCCAGAAGACAAATGAGGAAGCCACAATGCTTGGTAAGAAATGCACTCATTACCTTGCCTATGTAATTGTAACCCTTCTGTATGGTATTTTCAAAATAAAAAAAATAGTCTTATGGGGACTTTTCTTCCAGGGCTGGCTTTGAACTGTGATTCTCAGATCTCAGCCTCCTCAGTAGCTGGGATTATAGACATGAGCCACTGGCACCTGGCTTCAAATAGTCATTTTCAAAATGATGAACTGCTTGGTGCTTCTGGCTCACATATATAATCCTAGCCATAGTTAGGATTACAAAAAAAATGCTCATCTTCTCTAGCCATAAAAGAAATGCAAATCAAAACAACATTGAGATACCACCTCACCCCAGTTAGAATGGCTAGAATCAAGAAATCTAATAACAGATGTGGGGGGGGGGGGAGAGGAGGGGAATGTAGCCAAAAGGGATCTCTCTGCATTGTTGGTGGAAGTGTAAACCCATTCAACCATTCTGGAAAGCAGTATGGAGGTTTCTCAAAAGACTCCACATAGAGTTTCCCTATGACCCAGCAATCCCACTTTTGGGCATTTACCCAAATGATCACAAACAAGGTCATACCAAAGCTACCACCACAACCATGTTTATTGCAGCATTATTCACCATAGCTAAAATATGGAATCAACCCAGATGGCCCTCAGTAGCTGAATGGATCAAGAAAATGTGGCATATATATATATATATATATATGTATATATATATATGTAAATGTATATGTATATGTATACACACACACACACACACACACACACACACACACACACACACACAATGGAATGCTATGACTCCATCAGAAAGAATGACATTGCCTCATTTGTTAGGAAATAGACTTGGAAAAAATTACATTATGTGAAGTAAGCCAGGCCTACACAAACAGAGGTCCCATGATTTTCCTTATTTTTCAATAACCAGTATATGTCTAGGTCAAGCAGAAAAGTTCAAAAACTATGTACATATGACCATATAAAATGATGCTAAGCAAAATGAACCCCAAGATAGGGACACAAGAGGTTTTATCTTTGTTGCTGTTGTTTTTAATGTACTTATAATGTACTGTGTGATTTTTTTTGTTTCTTTTGTGTGTTTTTCCCCCATGGTATAACCCCTGCTTTCACTGCATTTGATTCTGGTGCCCTGCATCTTGTATATACATTTTTTTTCTAATTAGGGAGGGGAAGGGAAATAATAAAATGCTAAAATAAGGATACAGGTTGACCCATTGTAACAATGAGGTGTACAAGACACTATGTTGCAAATGAACTTTACAGCTTGAGAGGGGGAGGGGGAAGTTGGGGAGGTGGGGAGGAAAGGGATGGTAGGGGAAAAACAAAGGGGGGGTAACAATGCTCTATAGGAAATGTACTTATCACCTTACTTATGTAACTGTAACCCCTTTGTACAGTATCTTTACAATAAAAAATGTATTAAAAGAAAAAGATGGTGGGGCTTGAATGAAGAAAGCCAACTGAGATGGGCCTTCAAAGGATACCAATATGGAAATAAATAATACACACACACACACACACACACACACACACACACACACACACACATATATAATTAGCATCAAGTAGATGTACAATGGTGTTTGATTTTAATATGTCCATTTATGGACAATGCTTCTCAAAGATGAATACATGGTGCCTTCCTGTCTTAGCTTGTTGGCTCTCATGAGATCCATAGCTTTCCTCTGTGAGGTCCTTTCCCAGTGATATTCTTCCCTGACACAGGCTGAAGAGTAATGGAGCCAGCTGACCATGGACTGAATCCTCGAAAACCACAAACTAAAATAAATATTTCCCCCCTTTAAGTTTCTTCTTCATCAATGAAAAGTTACACCTATGGAAGGCTAGGGGAAAATGTCTCTTAAATGATCTTGATACTTTTGTATTATTCCTTAACCCCTCCCAACTTCCCTATGATGATAAAGAAAATCATGGACATCAAATCAGTTGTTTATGAATACACATCTAGCAAGAGAGACGGAGGGGGTTCTAACTAATGCTGTTGGATTCTGATTGCTTGAAGTTTTTCTACTGTGCCCAAAAGGAAAGCTTTTACATACCTACATATATGTTTATGCTATTTTTCATTTACATACCTACATATATGTTTATGCTATTTTTTCATTTAGTCAAAAGGTTGATAAGATCAATT